CAGCTCTTCGGGTCGTGGAGCGCAAAGACCGCGGGAGTGCTAAGTAGGCCGATATTAAAGACGGGAGGCCGCGTTTGCCCGGGGAAAAAAAAAGGGTAGATTAAGGGTGGAAATCTCGTGTTTACACACTGCACGCCGTTTTTCTACACACAATACAGGAGACGATTATTCGAATATTGCCTCGTGCCCCGTGTAGTCGAGAGTTCTTACTGGCTTCGACTTGAAAATTAGTTTTTCCAAAACTGGTTGTCGGCCAGTGTACGTTTTCGGTGCGTTATTCTCGATTAATTTCAAATAGTAATAATGTCCGTTTGCGTCGTAAACCCCGTGACAAACACAGTCGTCGACGACTTTAAAACCATTGTCGGCGGCGGGTAAAGGGCGGAAACCCGGTAGAGAGAGTATATCCATTTAATCTTGCAAATCGGTTTAACGGGGGGTGTGAAGTGGATCATGACGAACCCCACCGCCCCGCCATCGTTTTATCGCAAATGCAATAGCACACGGTCCGTTGCCTTGTGCCGTACATCATAAACGACAATGTTTCACTGGCAAACGAAAATAACGTACAATATGACATCTCCGATGTGTTATTATTGTCGTGTTGGACTGGGAACGAATACTGATTCACATGAAAACGCAATAGAAATACCGCCCCCCCAAACATGGGATGGTAAAAATAGAGAAAATCAGCTGATAAGAGATAACACAATAGCGATAGTGATAATGGAAAGTGTTAATTGATAAGAAACATCAAAACTGATAAGAGATGAGAATATTGATAAAAAGTCTGATGAAAACGATAAGAAAACGTAACTGAGTGATCAAATAGGATTTTGTTTGCTTAAATTTTAATTTCTTTTACTGAAACATTCCGTATATTTTTTCCTGTAGAACAACGCAACCGTGTATAATATTATTAATACTTTTTTTTACTATTATTTTGAAACTTGAATTTATTTCTCCCTTTTTTTTCTTTTTTTTAGTACCTATTCTAAGTCTATTATGGCAACAATTGTGTTGAGGATTTAGGCCTTGGTCGAGTCGACCAGTGTTAGCGTAACCACAGATCAGATAAAACCAGACGGCGCACTTGGTCATTTACTGATAACTGAAACCTTCCTCAACTCGGTGTGACCACATTCTGGAAAAACGAAATTATTATACTAAACAAAATTTTGATCAAACATCGGCGATCATTTTAATAATAAATTTAGCAACGCTCATTTCCGAAACGATAATTTCTAATAAATATTTTCCAACGCTACTGTCAACCTACCGTGTTCCAGCGTGTTCATTGTGAATTCGATTTTATACCCAAAATAATATGATCGCTATAACGAACGCGTACGGGGCTTGTGTGTATTTAATTATAACAATTACGCGTAATATATTATATTAAACCGATGACTCGCCCGGTGAAAATCAAATCGGTCGGAACAAGTCCGGCTTCCGAGCAAGTACCCTACACCCCTGTAACAATACCGTATGATGTACTTAAGCGAAAACACACTGGCGGGCAGCTGTGGCGGCGGTTGCGGGCAAATTGAGTTAAAACGAATGCTTTGTTTGAAACACCGGGGATGGCAGCAAACGCTGCTCGTGTAGAACCAACGATGGGCGTACCCGTTTCAGATAAATGTAAATGAGGTTATGAAACATTTACCGGCTAAAGTAGAGTTGTGTGGGTAGCACGCACTGCACACAGAGGCTCCTAATGAAACCGAGAAGACCCGGAGACAAAGCGATGAAAATACCAAAAAAAAAAAATCCCTTCCACGGTAAAGGGTAGCTTTTCAATACTCTAAACGACGGGCTCCCGATCCGATCGTCTGCCTTCCCTACATTAATGCCATCAAACCGACTTAACGTTACAAGTCACTGAAAATCGGCCGGTACGACCCGAGTCGTGCATCTTTAGCACATAACGTTATCTAAACAATCACCGGGATCAACACATTATTCAAAACATTTTTTCAATCTAATCATTTTTCATTACAGTAATTTTCAAAACAGTCATCCGAAAAATGTTTTTAAAAAAACTACTGTTCAATGACTGGGACATTTTAAAACTGTATGTGTACATATTTAACATAGAAACATTCGATAACTATTCCATTGACTAAATAAAAAAATTTATAATTTTTCGGTTAATCCTTTTGGGCATGTAAATAATTTGTTAAAAGGAAATTTTATTTGAATGTTACCTAAACGTTTTTCGATTTATTTTAGTCGCTATGTAATTAAATTTTATAATACGGAGAGGATAATTTCTAATATTTTCAATGCCAAAGCTCACCCACATGTTTTGGTAAAATGGCTTCCCTCCCCCGTTTTACTTTATGATTTATAGTCAATTTCAGGAGTATTTTAATAGTATTATCCAATTTATTACTATATGTAGGGAGTTTCCAAACGAACGGTCCTTTGCGAACTGTTCGGCTTTAACGGTTCAATGACAATATTTATAATAATAATAATATGATGTTTTCCCTCCAAGTTAAAAAAATAAAAAATCCCTTGCATATTATAATATTCCAAAGCAAAACTAAAAAGGAATTTGATATCAAAAGCTCGTGTTGTATCCGTAGAAGAAAGTTTAAAAAAATTTAACCTACAAACCAATTTTAAAATTATTTGTGTTTTTCCATATTTATACCAGGAGGTCGCAATAAGTATAATTTTATGAAGTAAGTGAAAATTCGAGTTACAGTGTTACCAGCATGACTAAATTATATTTCTCTGGTACATTTAAAAAAATTGTTTTACTACAGTAACCACGTGATACAAAACATAATGCTTATCACAGTATCATATTATCATATATATCAATTCGAATTTATATTCTATCGATTAACAACTTAAAAAATAGTATGTATTTTTATTTCAAGTGGTCACACTGTCGTTTATCTTCTTGATTACATCGTTGCTGAGTACAGCGCATTATATTATAATGTTACAACTCTATATATTTTTACTCTGTGGTTTATACTGATAAAAATAGAAATTTATTCCAAAACAGAATATTTATAATAATATGGACTATACGTTTTAGGCGTTGTGTAAATAGACATTTTTTTTCAACGGTACAACATAAATATATATATGACAGTTAAGTCTAGGCATTTGTAAATCATGTCGACAAGTAAAAAAAAAAAAAAAAGGGGTCACCGTCATTTTCCCCACGGGAACTTCACTTCGATTGGCGTTATTCTCATTTCCCTTGCATAAAACAAGCCGGAAGCTGTATTGGTGCCAACATAATACTCACAATATGCAATACTCTCCAAGCACCCATATACGATATTTTATTTATACACAAAAACTGAATTTTGTTTTTCATCCGGGTGAAGCCATCTACAATCGATGGAAAAACTTTTTTTAACTATGGTCTCTTACCTAATTGTTTTAGACAAAAACAAACAGTCAATTTTTTATACCACATACAATTTTTCATTTACATTGTGTTTCAAAGGTAGACGTAATTGGTTGCAAAACATTTGTTCTATCTAAACTTTTTTTAAGGTATCTCTAAACATTTTAATTAAAACGCTCTTTGAAAACTGTACGCTTTTAATGAAAAAAAATTGACTTGTTCGTTTTTGTATGACTCCAAAACGCCGCTGTATTGACGTGTACCTACTTCAAAAAGTTTTCGGTAGTGAGAGATCTGGTTTTATTTAATCTGAGGTTTTCGAAAAATGATTAATATTCTTGGCTTAACGGCTATAATGTAGTGTATAGTAATTGTCTTTCTCTGGCTTTGCGCTGGTGCGGTTGTAATAACACCGTGTACCATCCTTCGCCAGTGCTTTTCCTAATCAACTTGTTATCATTATCATCCGGACAATGATTGATAAGTACGGGCAAGTTTTACCGAGTGATTTTTATGCAAATTATTTAAGCGCATTAATCACACTTCCGGCGTTGGTGTGGCGCTAGGGACGAGGCGCCGGCCGAACGGCGACGCAATTACCCTGATGAGAATTCCAAGCCCGTCGTGTAGCTATACCGTGTACTAGTCTGCTCGTCATAATGAAGAATGATGTCGCATTTGCTACAGACTATAACGATGGTTATTCTGATGATTATACTTACCGAAAAGCGTTTGTCAACAGCTGTCTCTGTTTTCCCGGACGTTATTAACGGAATTGAAACATTTCCGGACGCCAAGCGAAGAAGGTATACATATTTGTTCGTGACCCACGATATTTGATCGTGTAGCCACTCTATAGATCACAAATCGTAACCTAAAGGCATTTTATTGGGCCGAAAACTTACAAAGTCTTCCCATTCAAAATCGAAAAAAAACGCCTAAAAAATGTACATGCATACACTATTTACACGACTTGAAGTTACTCCCACTTGAGTGTAGCTCGGCTGATCCACCAACGTTTCGGAATGTGCACTCAAGTTTTAATAATTTTAGCTTCGATGCGATAGCTGAGAAAGTATTGTATTTACAATGATGTGTTTTTAATGTACATATATAATTGCACTAAAAATTGTTTTGGTCGAATTAGGTCCAAATTTGTATGGAATATTCTTTAAGACCAGATAGTACCACCGACAAAACGTTAACAATCCAAAAAAATATCATAAGCCCTTTCCCCTGGGAAGGGGTGAAAACATTTATACGAAAATTACACCAAATGTAGATCTATAGCATAATATACAATTTTCTCGAAAATCTGTAGTCAAAACTAAAAAAATTACACTTTGACCGTAGTAAATTCTATCTAGGTAGCTATTTGTGTGTGTGTCATATAGACCCGCGACCTCCCCTGCCACACTAGCCCCGGCCCCACTGTACTGTTTTTTATTTTTTATTGATTACAACAAATGTGTGTACAACAACACTAAATGCATCTTCGACTCGAGAGCGCCGAGGATGGGTTTACTTTCGAATTACCGTTTTGAACTTGCGACGCTTTCTTTGAAATCCCACGTGATCCGATTACCTACTTAAGTTTTGGAAACCGACATGCGTGTTATACATATTTTTTTATGAAGTGTTTTATTTCAACGAATTCTCAATATTGACACACGGGGTTTATTATGAGTTTTGTGCGAATTAATTTCGCTCGGGTAAAACTTGAAGTGTACCGTTTCACGTGCCGGAGGCAAACGCTTTTCCCAATCGTTTAGCTTTTAACGTCGACTGATTGTATTGCCATTGAGCCAAGTATTTCCCAGGCTGGTCGCCAAACAGACAACGGCCCATTTGCTCGCATCTCAACACGCCGTCGTTTTCCATTGGAAACCACCTTCGGTTCGAGCACACCAGTTGTACCGGATGCATTCGATTATCTAAAATCAACGTCTCGTACTCAGTATATTCTATTCTACAGCCTTTCGAGATTCGACCATTGAAGGTTTGAAGCGGGTTTTCTTACCGATTTCAACGAGGAAGCTCAGCTCTTCGGACGGCCTACCGTTTTCTCCGACCCGATACATACTGAAATCGCTCCAGTCGACGTTGGTGCAGGTCCCGTCCAGGTTTCGTACGTATCCGTAGTAAAGTCTTAAAGAAGTAAATATATATATATATCAATAGCACATAATATAGAAGCAGAAGACAATCGAGTAATACAATGTACGTGTACTGATGATAAACATAGAGACGCCGGAATGCTGGTGTAAGATGGGAGATGAACGGAAATTGGCATCGACTCCAAGTTAGTGATGATGAGAAATAGCAGTAGCAGTTTAAATAGCGCTGCTATTTCACGTTAGCAATAGCAGGCTGCTAAGCAAAATAACTAATAGCAGCGACTGCAATTGTATTTTGTTGATACTTTTTTGTCTAGTGCCTACGCCGATATTCAACGCTTCTCAGTTCTCACTGTCATTGGTAAATGCTATTGTTATTGCTTTTGCTGAAACTAGCACCTCTATCAGCTATTCAAATAATGTCAGGCATCAGACAATTGTTGAATAGCAATACCCTAATATTCACCGCCATAGACAAAATAATAACTTTCTGGTAGTTTCTAAGCAATAGCTGCTATTTTTGAACAGCAATATCGTTAGAAACTGCTACATTGAAATTTGCAATCTGCCGAGTAAATTACTTCGAGTATAGCCGATGTTGGTAATGTTGTGACGAACACAAGAAGCATTGTGTACGTACCGTGAAAATCCCTCTGTCTGGCAGACTACACAAAACACGGCATTTCGACCATCGTCCAAGTACATCAGGATGAAAATATATCTGTGCATCGATGAGTAATCTCTATTCCTACCGAAACTACGATCTCTGAACGCCGTTGCGTTTTGCAAGACCAAATTTTTGCCAAAGATTTCGATGTCCGCGTCCAACCGGCCAAACTGCTCCCAATGCACCGTAGTGTTCATCTCTTGCGCACCTCTGTATCTGCAAACAGATAGCAACGGTTACAACTCGAACCACTTGCTGTCCCTTTCACGAGGGGTGACGCTACTGACTTAAATGGAGAAACCCTGCTGCACTCTTCCAGCGCAAACGATTCTGCGAACGCCTTGCTGCTGAAGTCCCGATTGAGTATCCAGACGTCGTCTTTACACCGCCAATTGCCAACGATTTTCACGTTAACCCGTTTCTCCGGGTCGTCGACAAATCTAAAAAACTCAAGAAAACCGTATGAATGTCGTGGAGCCATTGTTGGTACATATCTGGTCGCACTTACAGCATTTCACCTTCGAATCGAAAAGACCACTCGCGCAAAGGAGTTTCCATTGTTAAACCGCACTCGTCTACAGCAAATTCCAGTTTGCTTCTTCCTGCAGAGTCTCTTAGCACGGATGTCGTCAGGAGACCTACTTCTGGGACCTATGCAACACGCTTAATGTTAAATGTACACATATATACAGCTGTAACATCATAATATAACGTCCTGTACTCGAAGTAATCAAACAAGGCGAGTGACTATTGAACTGGCAGTGAATAATTTATATTGTATTCATAATATTATAGACACCGAAGGGGGTGTTGTCTTAGCTGCTCATCTTTTCACATTATTTTTCTTGTAAGCTAACAGTGTACAATTAATCAAACTAATCGCTCTGTCTGCGTATTACTATATTTTTAAAAGTCTTTTTTATTATTTCTTTATTGTTTTAGTATAAATAACATGGTATAAACTCACATACAAACAGAGGTATCCGACAGACATATTATGGTCGTTCCGCCTGTCGAGTGCCAGTATGATCCACTTGCCGTTTGAGTCCGTGCCTCCTATCCACGTCGCATCAAATCCCTAAGCAAGTGTAAAACCAATTATTTTGGATTTGTAAACATAAAATGTACAGACAAATATGCAACTAACGACATTGTCTCCAAGTACATGAGGTCCGTCATTGTCTTCTGGTTTACCATACTTTGTCTGGACGTTGAAATACTGCGATAAAGTCTGAAAACATAACGAAACGTTTGTGCTGAAATGCTGAAAAGCTATGAACGACAATGTTATCATGGTTTTCTTACCTTGACCAAGGTGAAAAATAAATAGTAAAGAACGTATTTCGGGTAGAACGCACGTCCCGGTAACTTGTAAAAATCGAAAAAAGGCCCTAAATTATTTTGCGGTTTCGAATAATGCATGAACAGAAAACATATTGATACAACAGCTAGGAAAATTAGACCGATCAACCACATGTTGTTACCAAACGAACGGCTCACCGTTGACTGAGTGTTATATCATAAAATTTAATGCTCAAACAAGTCGATTGAACTTATCAGCAAGCACTCGAGTATTTATTGTTTGATAACTTATTTAATAACACCGATAAAACGAGAGCTGTGAACAACACCGACGACTAAAATGTATGCAAAGTTGTCGATCCACTTATTTAAATCAAACTAAATATTTCATTGTGGGAAATAAAATGCCACAATAGTTTTCTACATTCTATATGAGTTGTTCATGGTCACTGTGGTGTTGATTACGAATTCAATTAAAAATTCTAATTGTAATTATTCTGCTATTGTATTATGTTTATTCATATTAAGTAAAACCTACTTTGTGAGTTATTATACATTGTGGGAAAAATAAAACGCTATAATAGTGTACTCTACACTCTATACGTGTTGTTCGTGGTCACTGTGTTACTTATGAATTCAATTAAAAATTCCAATTGTAATTCTACTATTAAATTAAAAAAAAAAAAACACATTTCTATAATAAAAATACTTTATTAATTATTTATTATGATCTGGTGGAGGTAATATTTACGTTAAACTCCGGTGAGTGTCACTTACAATTTATTATCGAAATATAAATACCAAATTTAAACATTTAGGTATAGGTTCATTGGGGGGGGGGGGGGTCTAGATATTTATGAATTGCAAAATATACAATAATGTCGGTATTATTTTGGAGATAAAGACTTGATTAATTTGACAAAATCCCGCTTGATGAAAAAATTCAGTCCTAAAGTCATTTGAATTTGAAATTGACAATAAAAATAGTTATCCCCTAGCTCACATTTTGACATTATACGAGCAACAAAAGTAATCATGCCAAGTAAAACCGAAATCAAATTGTATTAATTTGTCAAAAAAATGAAATAATTTTAAATCATGTGTTTTTTTAATTGCCATAATTAGATAATATGATGGCTCAACGATTACATAATATTATTTAAACAATGAACAATAATTACAAGATCGTTACAATAAGGTAAAAACCAAGACAACAATATAATATCAAAAAAACTATGTAATATAATTAAAGACAAACATATTAGTGTTGAGTGTAGAAAAAAAACAAATTAATAGATAAGTAAGTAGACAAAAGATCATAAGATACGTTATTTTACATGAACTGTTTTATCATTTTTTCCTACTTTTTTTTTTTTTAAACTAAAACAAATCGTTTGTCTTCTCATCAAAGTCCATAGTATGTATGTAAACGGATGCCCTGGTGGTCGTTGGGCAGCGTTCATTCGTGTAGCATCTACCGAATTTCGGTAATCGTCGTTTTGGTGCAATAATAATAATAATAATAGTGTTAGTACATGTTGATCGGCTCGTTCCAGCTTTTAGTGCGAACATGTCCATATGTAACTATTGCTGCTATCGCTATGAAACAAATCGGATTTTGACAAAACACAGTGAGAGAAGAGAAAAAAAAAAAGCGCAGAAAAGAAGTGTATTTCGATTGTAGCTTAAGTGGCTTATTTCTGAAGAAGAAACGTGATCACTGCGCTTTGGAAAGGATGAACCGAGCAGGGATTTTTTTCTCCCCTACTCGCACATTCGCCGGTCTAATTCAATATTTTCTTTTTTTTCCCCGCCCGTTCTTTATACAAATAAAAACAAAATCGTTTGATACACAATCGAATGAAATCAGCCTAGCAAGAAATATATTCTTCTTTTCCTTGGACGGCCCTCGTGCATATTTAAAAAAAAAAAAAAAAAAACAACGGTGCTGTAATCGCACCGCACTGTCTCTTTGGCAAATTAATACTCTTGAAAATATTCTCAATGTTATTTGTACTTTTTTCGGCTTCGGTGCTTAGGCAAAAATGTCTTGTTTTGTACTTGGACCCACGGTATCGCCTAAACCGCTGAACCTATTTTCATCGCGTAGCAACTCTATGGATCACAAATCGTACCTGGAAAGAACTTTTTTTTTTCACTAAGGAAAACCCCCCAAAAATGGGAAAATTAAACGTCGACCGTAATTTCTAGGTAGCTATTTGTATAATATGAATCGACATACATTTGAAAATATTTTCACTATATTGTTAAACACGATTCATGCGCAACTATGGCAATAAATTATTATTGATAGACGATCAACCCTATTCGTATCTACCCTAATATCAAAAATACATTTTAAGCACATACAATGTCATTAGGCACAATGCTTTTATCGATATTTGTATTTTTACACAGTTACAGGTTGTCAATTAAGCGTTTATTTGTAAGTGATTTTATCACTTTCAATTGTAGTATCTCCCTACCGTACTGGCTTTTATTATTAATTATTATTGTGGTTTTCCTTCGCAAGACAAATCACCAAGCTTGCAAGTATCCGTTGCACCGTTCGATTAAACGGACAGCGTTGTATCTATTATAGATTTTCTTGTTTTTAAAAAAAATAAAATTAGCATGATTCCAGTTACCGCATGCAACTAATTGCTTTGATTCCAAAACATAAAATCAATTCGCTCCAGGGCAAACTCATTGTTTCTGCGATAAGAATTTTGACAAACAACTCAATTTTGTTTCAAGTCTTTACACCGAGATAAAGATTGATTTTACTTTGACCGAGATAGGGCAATACATTGCCAGCAGACGGATAGGGTGGAAGTCAAAGGTGGTATTGTACTGTTGCGGTATATCATGCGCATTGTCAGTGTAATAAATTCAAACCTTTCAGTGTTACTGTTAGACTCTTGGACTCTGCGAACGCATCTAAACGGTATTATTATGTGATGTACGGACGGTCCCCTGCACATATGGAACAACTGGAATTAATCACACTAATGGTACGGACGACAAAATAATAATAACAATAATACAGCCTCGATGCAGCCGATGAGTCGGATAACAATCGCTTCGTTTAGACCTGATGACAATGTGAAACGGCGATGGCGGAAATGTTGCTTCCTGCAAGAACACAAGGTGGATAATGCCGAATGGGGTCTTTGTCTGAGCTTGGTCGGTGAATGTTTGTTGAACAAATCCAAGCCATTAAGACCAGTAGGAGCCGAGGAATTTTGCATTTTTTAAAAGGGGACATAGATTAAATTATTACCGGATAGTCAATTACGGATAACTGAATTGTTGTTCAATGTCAAGTACAAGGTCGCGGTCCGTTGTTTGAATTCAATCTCTCTATTGAAGCTAATAAGCTGTTGGATAATGAACGTTTTATATGATCGACTGATTTTCTGTCTCTTGTCAATTATCCAGGAATATTCGCATTCCTCGTATCAACATCCCATCCCCACCTAATCCTTACTTACTACACATGTTCCTTCCCTCTATTGGACTTCCGTATTAGCTACTGGATTTTTCCATAAGCAGATGAGCAAGAAAAGCTTGGTAGCTTGGGCTTCTTCTGTATGGATCCTTTATGGGATATCATTAGGATTCCTAAGGGTGCTGTTAGAAAAGCGACCGTTCAACCTTCAGCTTTACACCAACAGCTAAGCTAAAGCTCAAAAGCTAATGGTTTTTATTTTCTACCAGTGGTCGCTGTGTGTTAAGGAGGTTTTTGGTTTGTTTACATTTTGTCTGCAATTAATACGGTTCGACGCATCTGGTTTTTACTTTTGTTTTGGGTAAACAATGCGCATATAATACAGCAATAATCGAGGAGTAAATGAGTTACCGCGGCGATAAATGATCCGTATAAAGGCGAAATCAATTATCATCCGAGACGGCGACGGTCCCGGGGGAAATCATTGACATACATAATCTTATGGCGACGAAAAAAAAAAAAAAAAATAAGGAAAAAGGAAGGGTATTATCCGCGAAGCTTGTAATCCCCAAACACTGAAAAGACCATTGAGGACGACCGTGTATCTCGTCAACGCGCGCATCAGCACAACAAATAGGATTTTGCGGTAAACCCGAATACTCTGCTTTTATATAAAATATATATGTCTTATGAGACGTCATTATTTCCCCCCCCCCCCTCTCGAATAAACCTGCATCAAAGACTAACAAACTCGAGAGACCTCATCAAACAAGTCGGGGGACGATTTAATACTTTTATAATTAGGATAGTTTTTTTTTTTTTTAATGAGGATGTATTTAACATAATATGTTATTCATTTTTACAAATTTGTATAAATAGAATAAATTAACTCAAATAATATTTTATCACCTAATGCTTTATTCGAAAAAATATTTTAATATAACCCAATTATGATGGAGACTAATGATTGTTATTTATTTTTACTTGACCAGTATTGACAACAGGAAATTTATAATTTTATCGATTTTGCAGATTTAAAAATATATTTATAAATGAAGAAATTTAGAGATAGGGCTGGAGGTAATATAATATTTATGTATAGCGCCGAACAATTACATTTTTATTTGACAAACGTAAAATAAAACAATCATTAATTATACAACACCTACTAATCGAGTAATAATATAACAAAATAATTTGATTTACACAATACACACGTATCGCTTTATTTATTCGGCGTTTAAACACTGTAATTAAAAATGAAATATGAACGTTATCTTTTTGACGAACTCAAAGCTCAAATATTTTGCATTCTCTGCGGTGCCTTTAAGCGAGCAAGTCTGTTATTGGTTTCGTCTTGTAAATTCCTATTTATTTTATTTTCAAAAAAGAAATCTAAACCGTACCACAGTACTATAATAATTATGATATGTCTTGGCCAGGAAAAATCATAAATAAAACACCGAACGTTTAAACATTTATTAGTCAACAGACAAAATGTGTGTATACAAGGAAATCGTTATTGAAATCTCGGACGATAATAGTACATCTTACGGTTTAATATCATTTCGGTCGGTTATCGGACATCCGCACTAAGGACGAATCGCAACGTGGAAAGGTTTTTATCGTCTTGTGGATCACAAATAAAGAAAACCAACACACTGACACAACGGGAGGGACGCAAATCCTTTTATGAAGTCGGTTTCCCGCGTAGGAGCTTTGCACGCTGTTTCCAATCGACTAAGGCGGTCTATTGTGCGGGCATCGAGACTTTTCATCTAAAACGGAAAAATGTCTTTCTTCTTATTCTTTTCTTAGACGCCCACTATCTTTTTTCCGGTCTG